GCGTGATAACTGCTCTGTGAGGGACAGTGCCTGAACCAGACTCGTACAGTTACGAACGAGAGAATACTGCACAATGGCCTGTCTCCTGGCTCTTCTCTCTGGCCAGAGGGTCACGCTATGCCCCTGACTTGCTGGCGGGTGGGCTGTTCGAGGGGCGCGCCGAAAGAGGCAGGGAGTTCCAGCTCGGAGAGGCTGGGCTTGGCTGGCGCTCGGACTCCTGGTTCCGCCCGTCTTGTGGGCACAGAGGGAGCGAGCAGCTTAGGTGTGGGACACCAGGAGGCCACTGGCTCGCTTATGTCTTCCAGAATAGCAAGAAAACAGATGTGGCAGGAAACAGAAATATCGGCTTCCAGCCCAAATATGGGATATGACCATTTCGAAGCGGTATTCAATTTGGCAGGCGCTGAAGAGATTCCAGGTGTGACAGATGTTTGGAACTTTTTTTATCCTCCATCTGCAGTAAACAAAATGTTGACGTGTTGTTTTTAGTGCAGAGGGCAGGTTTTGTTTCTGTCGCTGTTGATTGTTCTGTGCTGGGGTCCAGGCACCTGGATGATGACTAATATTTGCTGGAGCCAGAGGAAGATGCTCCAGTTCCCAGGCATCACAGAGCTCTGCGTTCAGTTACATCGGAGACCCTGTGTAACATTCAGCAGCTGTTCCTTCCGTCCTCTCTGAGACGGAGAGGCTGCATCACCTGAAATGTTTGATGTTTGCACCTCGCGGCTTTGTTTGTGATTTCCTCCCCAGTGTCAACGTTAAGGCAGTCAAAAGTTGTTTTGTTGGTGAGGTCTCCCTGGGCGCCCCGTGTGCACAAGGCATCGCATTTCAACATTTTGACAGCCCCTGTTTATTTTCATTGTATGTGTCGCATTCATACAGGGGTTGGATTGCTTGCTGGCCCATTTCAGCCACTGTGAGTAATGGAGTGACACTGTAAACACTTGTCACCTGATTTCCCCATTTAGACAGCAGGTCCCAGTGCATTTTCATTCCGTTTTGGTAATGTACTGAATTTATGCTTTATCACCTCTCCAGTGTGCGTTAAGGGATGAGGTGCACTTCGAGTCCCTCATTACTGAGAAATGCATTCTGGGGTCACTGGGTTGCATCTGCTGTCTCAAACGTGCTCTACTGCTTAAAATAAGCTTTTGTTTTACCCTGAATCCAGTTAAAAATAATAATAATGGATCCATTGCTAACAGCATAAAAAAAGTCCAGTACCGGCAAAAAAAAGCTGCTTCAAATCTTTGAGCTCTCTCATGCTAGTCTTGTCTGGGAGTCTTCTGAGTGCTTCATTGTTGAGCTTCTCTATCATCTGTAATCCAGCCGGCTTCTCAGGGTGGATATGGAGTACTGGATATTGGGTACTGTATCGAGTCAGCTGCCTTCAGCTTTCATGTTTCGGCTGTCGTTCCTTCCCCTGGCCCTGTGGCACGGCTAGTCAGACCCCAGCAGGCTTTCAGACGTACAAACCTGAGCAAGAGGGTTCCTGGAGGGCCCCGTATCCTCTCCGTTAATAATTTAATTAATTGTATTACTATAGACGGCATAGTGGCGCAGGGGTTGGCATTGGCATTAGCACTGGAGCCCTGGGTTCAGTTCCGGACCTCGGGGTACTGTCTGTGTGGAGCTTGCATGTTCTCCCCGTGTTTGTGGGCGCTGCAGTTTCCTCCCACAGTCCAGAGACACACTGGTAGGTTCATTGGCTTCTGGGGAAGCGGGCCCTGGTGTGCGGGGGTGTCTGTGTCTCTCTGCTCTTTGGGGTGTACCCCGACTTGCGCCCATTGCTTGCCAGGGTAGGCTCTGGCTCCCCTCAGACCCTGGATGTGTACAGCGCCTATACTGGAATACCTCTAACCACTGTACGGTCAGTGAAGTGCATATTCTGAGTTAACGAGTGTGAAGAAAGGTCCTATACTGTACATCTCTGAGAAATAATTCGCTTGTTTAATTGACGACTGGGGTTGGGATAAAATCCAGAAGACACCAGCTCGTCCAGGAGCTGTGGGTGACAACTCTATGTAACAGATCGGACCAGCTGGTCTCGTCTGAGGCGAAACGCCATTAGAAATTTCAGCTTCACGGCGATCAGAAGCGTGGAGCTGCTGCATGCCTTCCAGAACAACAGTTGGTAGAATGCTGTATCTTTCTCTTTTAACTCTCCAAGCTGCTCTTTCCCCCGGTAGTTTTAAAACTACTGTAATTTAGTATATGATACAGTAGCTAAAGGGGAGTGCGCTGTTAAGGCACAGTTAAGATCTTGCTTTTCAGATCATATTAAAGGAAAACTAGTCTGCCTACCCATGGCTTTGTGACAGTATAAAATCACCCCCACCTCTCTACCCAGTACACGGTTTTGTTACCAGCGTGGAGACGGGTGTAACAAGGAGCTGCTGGGTGCGCGATACAGACCCTGGCGATGTGTTTGCTGTTACTTTAACTTTTACTCTTTTCAGAAACGTTGCTACATCGAGAGAAAGAGGAAAGCGCAGGCAGACGCAACCGCTATTAACTTGAAGCGGGTTTTTCTTTTTACATCGTAATAGGCGATTTCGCGCACGAGTACCTGTTTTTTCCCCAGAAAATCCAAACCGCTAACTTTTTATCAGAAAATCCCTTCAGAAGAAACCGCAAAGGGATGGGCAGATGTGTATCCGAATCAGCCCACTGGACCTGCAGTTCGGTGTTGCCAGCCCGCATGGACCGCTCAGCTGCGTCTATCGGTAGCGCTCCGAGTGAAGGGAGCCGATAGCAGCCTGCTGGTCGCGGTTCCCACGCCCGGGGAACTCTTCACGGAGCTGCAGACCGACTTCTCTCGTGTTACTCCCACAGCGCTGCCGTTCATCCGTTTACTCCAGCAGAAGACTGAGCGCATTTCAAAGAAGTATTCTCTCCTGGCGTACTTTACGCGGAACAAGTAGCAAAACCCATCTGTTCAGCATCGCCTCCCTCTTCGCTATTACGATCTGCAAATCCTTAAATAAGAGCGGACCGTGTGGTATAGTCACACAGTGATAGAGTGTTGGTGTACAGTAGTAACAGCACGGTACGTGCTCAGTCTACCGACTTGTACGGGTCGATATGTAATCGGGCAGGGTTTTGCCTGTTCTTGGTCTTCAAGCAGCCGATGAAAGTGTAATTACTGACCCGTCCCTGTCTGAAACGGCTTGAGCACCTCTTCAGCTATATATCCGTGCCCGTTTTGAGAAGCGACGAGGAATTTAAACGTGTTGAAGAAGTTAAAGGTGCTGAACGTAATTCCTATGAAAACAGTACAGCAACGTAATGTTTTCGGATTTTCACGGTCCCGGTGCTTTGGAGTGGTCGCGGTGATCGGGGATTTGCACTCCCTGCGCACTGCTGTGAACGGAGGTGCAGCGAGGGCCGCCGATCGCTGCAGGATCAATGCGCTTTACTCCACCGTAGCGACGTCGAAATCAATCTCAAATAACGGCGCAGGGGCACCGATAGAGGAATTTGGTCTCTTTTGGACAAAAAAACATCTTACAGTCTCACCTATAACGAATCGTTCTCTCAAAAACAGCAATTTGAGTTTTTTTGAAAGAACTTACAATTTTACAATTTACAATTACAGTTTTCAAATCAACTCGGTGCTTTGTTTGCTATCCGACACTTTGGGCGATTCTGTTCGCCGGTAAACGACCATTTGCAGCAACACCTTTACAGCTTTCCAGTCATAGCAGTCATGAGTTTAACATACAGACCGGCGTGTTGTAAAATCGATGGTTTTACATCAACACCCCACGTAGCGAGTGATCAGGAATAACCGTGATTATTGTAGCGCAGAAGATGGGTTTTTTTCCCCACGTAGTGCCCAGTATCATCACTGGAGGGGTCCCTTTACAACCCCGTTTTCCTGAACTTCCGAGCCGCTTGCACACCGTCATTGAGAGCCCATGTGTTGCTGCCTCTGCGCTTGCAGCCCTGCGCCGCGCTCGGTACCCCGGCTCCTCACCCGGAGTTTGGAGGGGTTGGGCGCCCCGTCTGCACCCGGTTCCGGCTCGGATACGCGTACGCCTTGCTTCGGGACATCGGCACCGGGCAAGGGTGTCGGTGTCTTTTTTTTTTTTTTTTTCCCCTGACACGCGTGAAATGCCAGCAGCGACCCGGTGAGAACTCTTTCGCGATTTCAGAAAGGGAGAAGGGTAGGTACAGTAGACCGCCTAGCTCTCTCCAGGCTCCCCAGCCCGAAACCAGTATCCCATCCCGCCCGGGCAGCGCTGTAGCCGGCGACTCAGCGGGGTGGAAACTTCGTGGACATTCGACGCTGGAACCGAATTTAAAATAAAAAAAGAAGGTGACCACAACAACTCAAGCCACGTCAGGTGGAGCATCGTATCGCGTCGCGACGGGCTCCACTTGTTCGGCTCGGCGCCTGGTTGTGTGCCTGCGATTTCGCGAAGTACTTGATGCGGAAAACGGTCACCGAGAAGCGTAACGTCTAGAATGTGGAAACGGCAGGAAGGACGTGCTGGGCTGCTTACCTTACAGCGAGGCATGAGGGAAATAGTCACCACAAGCTCTACTCTGTGCCAGGCTCTATAACTTTCCCCGACAGGGATCCAGCTTCGAGCGCACGGGCTCTCGCTTGGGCTGGGTACCTTCCCCGCAGCAGGTCCGCTTTCTCTCCGCCTCTCCCCCCTCTCTACCCCTGTGTCACTAATCCGCTTTCATCCTCCTCCTTCTCGTCGCCGTGCAGCGACTCGAGCGGCGCTAATCCCCACATCCAGACCCTCGCCCGTCTCCTCCTGCCTCGGCAGCCCCACGCTTCTCCCGCAGTCACCAGGAGCCCGGCCGCTTTTAGCTCGGCGAGCGGCGGCGTCTGCACATGCTCAGTGCGCAGGAGAGCGTGGAGCGCTCGGGGTCCGCCGTCCCCTTGGGTGCTGGGCGCACCCCTCCCTGATCACCCCGCTAGCACCTGCCCCGGGACGTGTGCTGAAGGAAACCCTCCTAATGCCACTCCACATTCACTAGGACTGTCAGATCCTAGCCAGCACATAGGAAATCATTACAATCCACATAATGTTGTGCATGACAGCGTCGTTGTGAGTATTACTTTTATGATCCAGACAGGTGTTTCCGCTGTGTGCACTCAGAAAGCTAAAATAATGACGAAATAGTTTTTTTTCCCCCGATATTGCCCGTGATAATCCGCCACACAGTTGAATTGATGTGCAGCACACCGGATTTCTGACTCGTTGCAGACGGTCAACACGTTTAAGAGAAACACGTTCGGGTAAAGACACGTAGAGACTGGGCTTCTGGAAAGTGAACACGTCCACCAGTCAGACGGTCCGCCAGGCATTTTGTTTTCATTTTCCTGCAAACCTGCTCATAGTGCTCGCCATCACTAATCACATCTCACTCAAGTAACCACCGGCCATAGAGGCAGCACTCCCGCAATATAAAATCCTGTATGTAAATGTGTTTACAGGATG